AGTTTAGCCCATTTATAATTACTAAAAATATATTAAAAACACACTGAACTTGTTCATAATGAATTTCAGCTATTTTCAATGGATTGGTATCAATTGGAAAACTGATCTACAGTAGGCAACATGTATAAAATAGCCAGTGGCAACCTTAGAATGTATGTTTCGACTGGATTTCAGGGCAATTCACATAGTTTTATTTCTGGTATCCATGGTAACTAAGATGAAATGTATTATATTTGAATTTTTTGATAAATTCTGTTTTATGATAATTCTTACCCAATACTGTGTATGTAGTTCGCATAGATTGAGTACACAATCATAGCAGTATTGTCGATAAAGGATATTTCCGTAGTTACAGCTGGTAAAGATAGCATTTTTTAATAAGACTAGAATCCAGTACAGTTTCTGCTAATCACAGTTGAGGGAGGATGGGGGCAGGAAGCATATGTATTTGAGATGTTATACAAATTGATTTGATAATATAAGATGTTATATCACTGCTTTTTTACTTCCAAGTTAATTACTTTCGAGAAATGTGTCAGATGCTTACCTGAAGTTTTTGTAGGATTTCTAGCCTTCCTATATGACATCACAGGGTATTGGTGACGTCACGAGTAACAGTTGATGACGTCTTAGCACTGGTGACATCATTCGTTACTGGGGCTTCATAAATAAGACTATATATCCGTAGTATCACTCCAAGTTTCAGTAATTTACATTCACAGCAGCACAAACTACTCAAATCAGTTTCAATCGCAACTTCATCAAAGAAAAAAACTGCAGTCTTATTTAGATTTCATTTTTTTTTCAAATAGCCTCCCTTTATTCCTTGAGAGCATAACTGATCAAGTCACACCATACTGAGATATCTGTATTACTCGATAGTTGTTGGAGATACACATTACTGCAATACATTGCTTTGTTTATCTTATCATTTTCTAGGCACTTATAGGGATTTCAATGAAGTAAAAAAAAAAAAAAAAAAAAAAAAAAAAAAGATGTGCTGTATAATGTGAATATTTTTATACAGATGTTAGGTGTTTATGTGAAATTAATGCGAACATTTCTAAACAGATATATGGTGTGTATGGAATGTTTAATATGAATAATTTTATACAGATGTAGGATGTGCATAAAATGTTTAATGTGAATATTTTTTTTAATCTTGAAATATAGTGTTTATGTTTCACATGAATGTTTCTATACGCTTGTATGGTATGTATGATATGTTTGATATGGATATTTTTACACAGATGTCTGGTGTGTATGATATATTCAATATCAATGTTTTTTTATACATATGTATGATGTGTATGAAATGTTTAATGTGAATATTTTTATTCGGTAGTATGGTGTGTATGATATGTTTGATACAGATACTTTACACAGATGTATGGTGTGTATGAAATATCCCATATCAATGTTTTTATACATATGTATGATGTGTATGAAATGTTTAATGTGAATATTTTTATTCGGTAGTATGGTGTGTATGATATGTATGTTTTGAATATTTCTATACAGGTGCATGTTGCATATGTAATGTTTAATGTGAATGTTTCTTAACAAATGTATGGCGTATATGGTAAGTTTTATAGGAATGTTTCTATAAAGATGTTTGGAACGTTTTATCTTAATGTTTTGATACAGTTGTATACTGTCTATACAATGTTTCATATGATTATTTGCACACAGATGTATGGTTTACATGAATGTTTCTACACAGCTATATGATGTATTCTATACACACCATACATCTGTATCAATATGCTCACATTAAAACATATCATATACACAATATATACATCATACATCTGTGTAGATTATTCACATATAAGATATTTCATACACACACTTCCGCCTTTTTAAAACATAGAAACATTCGTATGAAACAGCACATTCATAATAAACATTCAATACACACCATACAACTGTATAGAAACATTTATATCAAACATTCAATACGCAACATGTCTTTGTTTCAATATTCATATTCAATTTTTTTTGCACACCATACATCTGTATAAAAACGTTCACATCAAAACATACCATATAACGTTTGGACAGAAATATCATTCATTTCAATACACCAAACATATTCATAGAAACATTCCTATTCAAATTCAAAATGAATCATACATCTTACAATATGAATGTTTCTTTAATGATATATGATGTTCATGAAATGCTGGATTTCAGTTTCTTTACAGATGTATGATGCATATGTTTGATATCAGTGTTTTTTTATAAGGATGTATGGTGTGCGTGAAATATTTTATATGAATGCTTCTCTACAGATATAAAATGCTAATTGAATGTTTAACATTTAATGTTTCTATAAATTTGTATGGTGTTTGTGGAATGTTTTATGTGAATTTTTCTATACAAATGTATGATGTGTAAAAAACGTTTAATAAATATGTGTATCAGGATGTATGGTGCAATTTGATTATTAATATGAATGTTTCTGCACTGACGTATGGTATGTATTACATGTTAAATATGTATGTTTCTATTCAGATTGATGATGTGCATGATATATTTGATATGAGAGTTTTATACAGGTATATTATTGGTATGAACTGTTTCATGTGAATAATTCAATAAAGATGCATGTTGTGATGAAATGATGAATACTAATGTTTGTATGCAGATGTATGGTTTGTATGTAATATTTGATATGGATGCTTATAGTGTATGTGAATGATCCATGTGCATATCCTATATAGATGTATGATGTGTATGGTACATATAAAAAAGATCTATACAGACTAATGGTGTGTATGTAATGTTTGATATGAATGTTTATATACAGGTATGTATGAACTGTTTAATTTGAATGCTGAGTGTATGTGGTTTCTTCTTGTAAATGTTCTATACAGATTGATGATATGTATGGAATATCAAAAATTAATGTTTCTATACAGAGGTATGGTGTTTGGGTTATCGTATACGGGTGCATTTCATGTATCAACATATCAATGGATAAGAGACAAATATCTCTTTTGCACGATTTGGTTTGAATGATGTTTTTGTTCTATTGAAATCTGTAATGAATAGTAAACTAGCCCGTTACATTTACGGTCTGTTCAAATCGAGTTATATTGAATTGGTGAAGGTAGAATTATTTTGGTTTTTAAAAACAAAATTGTACTATTTAGAATGGAGTGTGATGTAATTGTGGTGTAGAAGAACTTAATAATCGCGTCACTTTTATCATTTTTTTTCTGTTCAGTTATATTTTAGACTGGATGTTACGTTTCCTCCTCCCAGAGTTCCTTAACAGTTGCAAATGTTATGCAATGTCATCTTAGTGTGCTTTTCCTGCAGTTATTATCATTTATACTTAGATATTATAAAACAAAGCAATTTTATTAACAACAACGTATAAAGAGATGGATGACAATATTAGTTTAAGAAAGGAAAATGTAAGCTAGTGACAATTAACATTTAAATAAGTTTACTCTATATTTAAGTAGCATTTTATTAGTGTTTCTATGTGTTGATAACTAATGTACTCATGAAGTGCTGGTATGATAGACAAATAATTTTGACGATTATGCGGAGGAACAATGCTTCGGTTTTGTATACAATAACACTCATAATGATTGTGTTGAATGGTAATCCATTTAAATTGCGGCAGTCTTTACATGGGAAATACTTATGTTTAATATCTAATTATGTAGATAAGTATCATACATACTTTGCTACTTTTAATAACACCAACGGCGCATACACAATAAAGGGGAGGAAACTCAAAGATTTGAGAAGTATAGACGTTCATTCAACACCAACAATAATGAATATACTTACCCTCACAAATGATGCGCGGTTTACAGAATTATGTCGTCAAGGAAAATGGCATTTATCATAACTTCTTAATGGTGTATTGTTTTCCCCTAAATATGTTTGCGAGGCTAACATGCTGTAATGGTCTACAAATACGCTGTTAGTGTATCTGTGCAGATAAGCTAATCTGTGTACAAACTAACAATGAATCTCCCCTAGCGTCAAGCAGTTGCCGACCTGCCAAGGGAATCTCGATCCTTACATGACAAGTCGCTCAAACTTCAGCATACTTTAGGTGCATAATGTTCCAGAACACTACTGTTGCAGACATTGACAATACATGTGGTCTTTTCATTTTCGCAATATGTATAAGACGCTCTTACCAATAAAACTGCTGATTGTTGTAGATTTGACTTGTAAAAAACAGATTAAGACCATTTCCTGACTTTGAGATTATGTAACATTCCTGATGCAGACGGGATCAACTAAACGCGAACAAATACGATAACAAAACTGATACCCGCATTGACGGACGTTTGGATGCCTGAACAAATAGTAAAATTGATCATTTGTAATGGGACAATTGAGTATGTAATGTCTAAAAAAAGAAAGAGAAATCAAAATTTAGTATATATTGAACAAAATCGTTATCGCAGCATCCAACTTCATTACCAATTAATCAAAATGTATTTGTGGATACGTTAACACTTGTGTCGCATCTATGTGAATGGGATCGCAATTGCTTGCATTCCGGCACATTACTGACCAAAAATCATTTTGATGCGACTTAAATAATTTAGCAGGTGTTGCAATATTTTTTTTTTTATAAATTTGCCGCCTATGACTTTGAAGGTGAAGTTTATGAATGTTGTTGTCCACGTTTCGGAGGTATTTGATATTTACAGGAGAGTGATCGAATATGATGTCAATTCTGGCAATCATAACTTTTAAAGTGACTCAAGTAGTCAATATCATCAAGCTTTCAGATGATTTAATTGGTCTTTTAAAAATAAATAGTAACATTAGTTTAACGAATCTGTTCTACACTCGGTATTTGATATTGCAGGAAGTATGTTTTACAAATAAAGACACACGTTTGCAAGTCTGTTATCTTTAATTTTCCATTACTCTGTTTACATTTAATTGATCAATGCAATAATTTAGTATAATTCTTTTTTTAAAAAGTCATATATAATTTCAGGTAAATGCTAACTATGGCTGAAGGTATGGCACAAGTTCATCTAAGAAGTGTGATAGATCCACCTTGTCCAAGACATCCAGACACAGAAGCTATGCTTGTCTGCCGTCAGGACGGATGTGATGAAGCCTTAGTATGCCCGCAGTGCATTATTGTTGGGGGATCTCATGCTGAACATAAAATAACAATGCTACAGGATCACCTGAAGATCTGTAAGGAGAAAGTCCTGGAATGGAATAAAAACACCGAAGAACACGTCCTGGACCCTTGGAAAGAAATGGCAAAACAAATAGAAGCAGAATTATCAGACTATGACGGAGCATGTAAAGAACTTCTGGAGAATATTGAGAAAAGAGGAGACCAACTTCATTCCAATGTAGATACGTTGGTAAAGGAGCTCAAGACTAAATGTAGGCAAATCAAAGCATCGAATCGTCAGATACTAGAGCAGAAACAGCGTGACATCCAGGTAAAGATAGAAGGAGTTCAGGAAGATATAGCCTCCCTTGATGCTTGTATCCAGGCCACATGTAAAGCTGACATCGTCCAAGCCGCAAAATCAGGAATATCAAAGACTTACCCGATTATCGAGCAACCGGGTATTGAGGATATTTCTTTTCAACAAAGTGAAATGCCGCTGAAGGACATGGAAAAATTCCTGGGGAAAATTTCGTTAGGAAGTGAGCAATCACTTAGGTAAGTTTGAATATTGATATACATTTAAAATCAATAAATCTCATGCCAGACAATTTCACCAAATCCGCTAATTCAATACTGTTTTTGAAAAAGAACAGCCAGAGAAATGTTTGTCTTTACATATATATTAAGGGGAAAAAGAAACTACACATCATTGGCGTGTGAGGTATGCAAGGTTGTTTATCTGTATGTTTAAAATGCTTTGAAAAAAAATTATAAAACAAAGTTCCCTAATTTACACAAGTTTCAAATAACGTCAGTTGTCAGACCGGTCCCTAATATCATGAGCGCCCTGCCGATGCAGTGCATTGGCCAATTGGCGTAGGTTATTTGGGCCGTTTGTTAAATTCTGTCTGAACTCTTCTGTTTAATTCATCCCACAACTGTGCGATGGGGGACAAATCGAGGCTATCTGGATGCCAATCAATAGCAACAATGTTCTTGATTTCATGAAAGTTCCTACAAACTATTGTAACGTGTTGCCTTGCGTTATTATGCTGAAAGGTCGAATGGCGCCTTATAAGGAAAACAACATGAAGCCTCAGAATCTCATATTGATAGCATACTGCCGTTTAATCCTCATTTATGGTTATTAAAGTGTCTGTAAACAAGGGAAAATCCTCCCCGAACCAGAACCAGTCATCGTGGTCCAAAATGCAAGCTTGTGCAAGACGCTCCCAGGTACTTAAGTTGATGGCCATCTGATCTAAATAACGTGAATCCAGAGTTATCCGTGAAGAGCATGGACCACCAACGTGTCACAGGGAAACGCCTGGGTGCATGTACCGTCAAACATCGCACGTGGTCGATGTCCAGGTGTCTGTGGCAAACCAACGTGCTGGCGACATGGGCATACATTTGCGTTTGCCGTCTATTTCTCATAATGCATTAGCAATGGTATTTCGGCTGCCGATAGCCTTCTGTCACGCAAGTGGATTTGGTTAATTAACCGAACGTGACGTCGAGATGTTACAGATGGACGTCCGAAACTACGTCTGTCATCAACTTTTCCCTTGGCGTTGAGACGTAAAACTATTTAACATATCGTTGATTTATGAACTCCGAAGAGAGTTGCCACCTGCTGTTGAGTGCTACCTCCCGAACGGCCGTCCGCTTGCAAGTTGGAATATATGTGGCATATTTAGAAAATAATAATGATAATAAGTTTCGCAAAAGGATATCCTTTCAAATCAATGTTTACGAGCTTTACTTATTTGTTTGTTTTGAAGTAAGCTGGCTATTACGTCAAGCACATGCGTGTATCAGTTCAACGTGTCGTATTCACAGTTTGATAAATGTACCTACTAGGAAGGTATTCCTTAAAAACATCCCTTTTAACTGTCTCAAATTTAAATTATTGTTTTCTTTATTTTCATAATTGCTTTCTTTCTTTGCTAACGTCACATTAATTGTAGTACATGTGTGGTCATTGCAGAATGTATAACAGGATAACTTATCAAAACTTTCAAAGCTTTCTTTTAATGATGGGGGTTGAAATCCTTTATATTATACTCACCAGGGAGGAGACGGACGAGGAAAAGGTCAAACGCTTGGAAAGTAAAATTCAGGAATTCGCCGAGAGGTAATCCACTGCAGTCTATGTTTCATAACATTCTAAATAAATAGATAATATTAATGTCAAATAATGATATCTATTTCAAAAAGTCTCTTGGACGATATTCATTTGACGCCATTGCGCAAGGAAAATTAAGTCTTCAGTGATTTGTTGTTTAACCTCTTAAATTGGGCATAAAACGCTTCATTTTTTTAAAAGAAAGTCCGTCGAAAAATATCTCGTATGTTTTCATACCTTGAACGGTAGTCGCTATTGTTTTTTTTTGTATAAACAACAGGGGTTTCCTTCACTATATTCTATTATATTCTTTTTTAGTAAATGTTGCATGGAAACATACTCATGATTGAAAACAAAGAATGTACTTTCAGGAAAGAATAATTTAATCTGAACACAAGAGTGGCTACATTTACTTACATGTTCAATTAGTTCGAAAAGAAAATCAATGATAATGCCAGCACTGATAAAATATTTATCAGCGTTCACTTCTTCAGTATTTGATTGACTTATTTTGGAAGGGAGAATTTAACACTAACATGGTGTATTTTGAGGTCGCGAAAAGAATTGATTCGTTAGATGCAAATATGGTACCGTTATAAGCTTTTGTTTATATATCGTTGGGTTATCACCTAATCTTTTTAATAGCAAGATCATATTTATAAATAGACTTCATGAGACATATTTGTGATGATAATAAACAGAATATGTCATATGGTATCTCCATAAAGTTTTTGTAATATTCTGACAACGCAGAAAATGTTTTTGATATGCTTTTAATAGGCCGTAGATCATATCCGACTTATTCTGATCATATTAACATACTCGGTTAAATCTGAATGTCTTTCCAGATAACAAATTTAATCGACAGAGCGGTTAAAGTAATTGATCATTACTTTAAACGATTAATACAATAGACATGACCTATAATTCATGTTTAAGATTGTTTTATATTGTAACATATAGGTAATATAATCTTATAGCTTATACCGAGCTGGTTAATTGGTATGATACAAATATACCAGGACCTAAATGAAATATATCTGTCTGATGTTAAGTCAATTTTATGTTTGTAATATTTACAGAGAGAAAGCTGGCAAAGTCCGCATTCAAACTTTGCAGACCAAAAATGCTGAATTGATGAGGAAACTGCAAGATCAGACCAAGTGAGTTTTCTGCGTTATTATAGTATGTCTGCCTTTCTGTTATTGATGACGGGAGTGTTACAATGCATCGGTCTAACCATAAATACCAAGGGGGTAGGTATCCATGAATTACCTATATGTAATGTGATACATATAATGACACATTTCATCTACTATATAGAGGTTTAAATTCATATTGATCGCAGTGATGGCAATTGAGTGTGTATTATTAAGTGGTATATCTATATTTGAGATAAACTTTATTCCCGAAAAGTTAAATGATTCTTTGTTTTGAAGATGAGAGTGTCACCAATAACTTTTCGGTCATCTGACCCGAAGGCTGAAACTGCCCTTTAGCCATCGTGTGTCGTCCGTCCTCGTGCGCCGTGCGTAAATCTGTTCTTTAAATCTCTAATCCTCTTTCATACCTTGATGGATTTCTACCAAATTTGGTTTGCTGCTTCATTGGATGTGGATGATCATTTCTGTAATACAGATGGCTGATTCAAGTCATAGGGATTGAGTCACGGTTTAAAAAGGGTAGGTGCTGAAAATAGATATAAATGCTTGCGATAAATGATGGGATTGAAATCTTCTTTGATATATTCAGCAGGGAGAAGACGAACGAGGAAAAGGTCAAACGCCTGGAAAGACAAATTCAGGAATTCGCCGAGAGGTAATCCACTGCTGTCTATATTTCAAAACATCCTAAATAAATGGGTAACTTTTATGTAAAATAATAATAGCTGTTTGAAAAAAGTCCCTTGGAAGATAGGGTCTTCGGTCATTTATTGTTTAACCGTTTAAGTTGGGCATAAAAATCTTATTAAAAAAATTACCTCGTATGCTTTCATACCTCAAACGGCAGTTGCTTTTGATGTTTGTTTTAAATTACATGCCATACAGATAACAGTATAAAAAACAGGAGTAACCTACAGTTTTGTACTAAGTTCTGTTTCAGTAAATGTTGAATGGAAACATACCCATGATTGAGAACAAAGATATACTAACTATAAATAAATTCATGAAAAACTCGAGGATCATAGCGAAGATACTTTCAGGATCGAATCATTTTAATCGGAAGACAAGAGTGGCTGCAGTTACTTCCAATTTCAATTAGTTCGGAAAGAAAATCAATGATAATATCAGTATTGATGAAATATCTATCAGCGGTCTCTTGTCCAATATTTGACTTAGGTATTTTGGCAAGGAGGATTTAGCGCTAACATAGAGTATTTTGAGGCAGCGAAAATTTGATTCGTTAGATGTTAATATGATACCGTTATAAACATTTGATTATATATCGTTGGATTGTCACGGCTTTTCAATGGCAAGATGATATTTGAAACTAAACATCTTGAGATATATTTGCGATGATGATAACAAAATATCTTATATGGTATCTCCATAAAGGTATTGTGTTTTTTTACGACGAAGAAAATAATGTTTGTTATACTTTTAATGGGCCGTAGATCATATCCGACGTATTCTGATCACATTAACATACTTGGTTAAGTCTTAATTGCCTTCCAGATAACAAATTAAAAAGACAAAGGGGTTAAAATGATTGATCAGCATTTAAAACGATCAATACAATAGATATTGCCTATAATTCATGTTAAAGATTGTTTAATATCATTAGGTATAGGTAAAATAATCTTATAGCTTATACTTATCTGGTTAATTGGTATAATACAAATATATCAGAGATCTGTCTGCTGCTTTTATATTAATTTCATGGTTGTAATGTTTACAGAGAGAAAGCTGAGGAAGTCCGCATTCAAACTTTGCAGACCAAAAATGCTGAATTGATGAGGAAACTGCAAGATCAGACCAAGTGAGTTTTCGGCGTTATTATATTATATCTGACTCTCTGTTATTTATGAAGGGTGTGTTACAATGCATTCGTCTAACCGTAAATGTCAAGGGGTAGGTATCCATGAATTGAGTGTGTATGAATATGTGGTATACCACATAAGACTTCATTTAAAAATGAGATAACATTTTTTTCAAACGTTTAAGCATTGATTATATATGTATCCTAAATATGTTATTATAATAATTTCACAACGACATCATGCTTGCTTGTTTTTTTCCCCATTTGTATCAATTATTTAGGTCAATGACGGAATTCCAAGTCAATTCGCAAAAGAGAGAAAGAGATTTGGAGGCGAAGGTTAAAGACCTGAAGGTGTGGTTATCTTTTATTATACAATGCTCGCTTGATTATAACGCAAGGATGAATGAAAATAACCATGTTAAAAAAGTTAAATAATGTATTATCACTTAGCAATTAAAAATTAAATAGAACCGATCAACCTGTACACTTTTGGACATTTTATTTCCTGATATATACTTGACCTGACACACACGTTGGTCATGTTTAATTACTAATTTCTGCGATTAATTTCTGAAGATTTTTGTAGTACAAATGACGAAATTTTTTTGTAATTTGTACATTTTATTGCATTACAGGAACGCCTGACTTGTCAGGTGAGTGTACATTGCATCGCGTGGAAGGGAAGACACTTTTTTTGTAAACTTATAACAATGCATGCGAATTCGTCTGTTGATAAGGTTTCAATTCTATAATACAATTGTTTTCTTGTTCAGACATATTTTTGACACCACTTTCTAAAAATGCCTTCTTATTGTTCATCCTCTATTTGCTCTGTTGTTTACAATCCAAACCACGCCGATACACTACTGTTGTTCTGGGTAAAAATAAAGACAGATATATCATGCAAACAGTGTTAAACATGTCAAATTCCAGTATATTGAAAACATTTCATAGTAAAAGCATTAGAAATAAACATTGTTCCTTTGCTCCTTGGATGTGAACATCTTACAAGAGAAATATTCTGAAGGACAACACTATGTTCTTAAAAGCATTTCCTGGCCACACGGGAGACTCTCATACTTGACGGTACATGTTTCCTTACTCCCAAAGAATTCTGATCACAAGCTCCAAAGAATCCCCTTCTGTATAAGCAGAACCACTTGAAGTTCTGGAAATAGTATAACATTTTCCTAGAAGCGATATTGATGCAAAAGCCATCATGGATAGGCTCTCATTGCTTTACTTAGATGATAACGTCGTTGTTGATCGAGAGTTTAAGGATGTTTTGCCGGATTTGGAATCACGTGGTTTTGCAAGTATGCTATCTTATCTAACACCTGGACAGTCTCAATATGGCGATCTACAAGCTGACCTTGATCAATACATAGCCAAATCCAGATGGGTAGTGTAGTCATATCATTGACGTTTCAAGCAACGTGTTTCAAAACATAATTTACCTCCAGCTATTTCATCGAAGCACACGTTTGAATAGTAACAGCCATACGACAATATCATGAGGCACATACCAAATATCACTGGCAGCTTCCTACATAAGTGATAACTTTAGTGATGATGGAGACTAAGACATCTGGATCAACCAGCACTCACGAGACATTGTACGATGTCAGATCCACCCGAGGAATAAGATCAGTGTAAAGGACAATGTTTGGATCCACCATGACAGCTCCAACGGCATGTCAACGTAGCCAGTATCCTGAACTATTAAGGGGGGGGGGGGGGGGGGGTTGGAGGTGACTAAGTAGTGCTAAAGGTCTTAATTGTACCAATGTGAGATTCAATATGTTTGGACTTCGTTTTTAAAATTTTTGATTTATTACACTGAATTGTAACAAAAAAGAGAAGATATCCTGCCTGATGGTTACATTCTGGACACAATAGAACCATGAAGCGACAATGATGCCAATATTGCCAAAAGTCATCATGGGTAGTCTTTACTTGCTGGACATATATGATAACGTCGTTGTTGATCGATGGTTTAGGGATGTTTTGCCAGATTTGGAATCACGTGATATGACAACAAAATATGTCGTCTTATCAAATTACTGCACAGACTCAGCATGGCAATCTACAAGCTAACCTTGATAGATCGATAACTGAATCCAGATGGGTAGTAGTGTCATATCATGGACGATTCAATCAACGGCTGTTTTTGTAAAACACATCTTCCCTCCAACTATTTCGTTGGTGTCATCGCGGCATTCGTTAGAATAGTAACAGCCTGTCTCAATTGAATTCGAGGACCCATATATGTAGGAACACAAAAGCAAGACGCAAAGGATAGGGCGCTGGTTGCCAATATGAAAGCGCCTTAGTGGTCACTTTAAACTGGCTCAACGTAAGCAGCAACAATGAGCCATATCTTACACGAAGGACCAAGTCACTATTTGTCAAAAAGGATACTACTGCGATAAGTGTGGCTTCGAAAGTAAGACATGAAATACTTTCAGACAATATCATATGGCACATATCAAATATCACTGGCAGCTTGCTACATAAGTGATCACCTTAGTGATGATGGAGACTCAGACATCTGGATCAACCAGCACTCACGAGACATTGTATGATGTCAGATCCACCCGAGGAATAAGATAAGTGTAAAGGACAATGTTTGGATCCACCATGACAGCTCCAACGGCATGTCAACGTAGCCAGTATCTTGTACTATTTAGGATACTACATGCATTTTGGCTCCAGTAAGCCTTTTCATGTAAAAGTCAAAAGGTTTAAGACGAAACTCAAGTAATGTAGATGCGATACCAACCTCATCTTCAAGGAATTAGGTATGGTCGACCTTGACAATTAGAACTACATTACTGCACGATGTCGATCAACACTGACATAATATTAGCAATATTGTCAATAACAATTAATTACTTTGCACAAACTCCTGATTACATTTTTTGACAATCTATCGTATACTCTTTGAATAGTTTTTAGCACCAAATTACGCAATCAAGCTGATAAGTGGCTTCTTTGGCCATTTTAACAGCCTATCTTTTATAGCAGAGGTACAGTGCGTTTTCATCTATATGACATTTGCATTTCATGCCATTAGCAAAAATGGAGGGCGGTTTCATTTCTTTGATATTCTTAGAAACTATAAATGGTGAATTTTATCTAAATGATATAATCATCGTTTATACAATTGTAGTATTATTCAATAGTGTCAATTATCTGAATTTGAATATAGCTGTTCTGTTAAAACGTGTTTACTATCGTTTACAATCGTGTGATTTTTAGAATTATAGAGCACGATGGAATACAATGTACAGAATGTAAACTATTGAAATAATTCCACGATAAATGAAAAGGAGTTAAACTGAATCTGATCCGAGCCAGATAATATCTATGTATTAGAATATTTAGAGTACAGATATCGAATACATTGACCTAGTTTTACTTAAAATTTCAATTTCAATCAAGACTGTGATCATCTCCCTTTATTAAACGTCAAGTAAAAGCCCCATTTATTTTCAATACTATCATCGATCAATTACTGATATATTTTTCAGTTTGATTTTTCTGTTGTTTGTATTATGCTCTAGTTTCAAGGAATTCAAACTTGAATTAAGATTATGTTTTCATAATAGTGTTTTCTTTATGATTTTGCATTACTAGGACAACTAAGTGTAAAAGTTAGACTAAGTGCAACTGTTTGTATATAATTTTGTTCATGTCGCATCTGTATTTCTTTTACAAGCAACAAATGACTGTCATTTATGTATCACATTTCTTTTGGCGAGATAAACACTTCATCATGCCGATACTAGAACGATGTTAGTTACAGCAATAATATTAATATATCAACTTGAATAGATTTTTCTCGAATGAAACGTTAAATATCAAACGAAGACGAAATATGTCTGTTAATTTCAGTTAAATCTAATGTGTTAAATGTATGCCTAATTATTCATTTTCTTTTTCGTACCAATAGTCATGCCAGAAACCAAAGGATTCCTGTCGCTGCGTAAGTATTGTTTATTGATGTGTATGCGTTCAGGCAATGTCCTTATGTATATGAACGTGTAAATCACTAAGATGCATTTTATCCAAAAGACAGCAGTAAAATTCAATGTATTGATTGTTCTGCTTTTGTAAAATATTTAATTTAAGCTTTTTAACTATTTAATCTTTTTGCATCAATACATAAATGATAGATGCGCTCTACAAAGTACATTACAAATATATTTCAAGGGAACATCACAGTAAAAACATCAGTTTGTAGTTTTTACTTTCGATTACGTTTCTATGCTATCCCGATATTCTCAGTCGATTCAACAGTTCAGCCTGATCATCTCCCTGACTCGGGAAACCCCTCTCAAATCTAGTGCGGATATTATTACGTAATATATTTGATAACGAGGCAGTTCATTTTGTAAACACGAACGCATGATTGCGGTCAGAAATGTCAGTTACACTTATCAAAATCCCGTTCTTCAGTACCTAATTTTGTTAGGGATGTCTTAGTCAATTCATTGAATATGAATAATGTATTACAATGCTACATTATTCCAAAATGATAATAACAATTTGTCATAACAAAATAGCAGCTTTCTGATAACGCTTATGCAAATGTAAATTATCTTGAACATTAATGATCAACATGAACGATGTAACATTAATGGTTTTCTATTTACAGTGATTTCTCCAAAATAAGGCAACTAAATTAGATTACATAATTGCATTGACATCTTAACAACAATGACCTGAGTCACGTTTAACATAATATAAGCATATAACCTCATTATTTATGGCAATTGATCTGGGCGTTGATTTCTTGATTACAAAATAACACCCACATGTCTTGAAGGTATTATACTAGGTAACACTAGAAACGTGCATTAGTCTACTTAAGGCTCTTGGTAAATACGTCAATTACACTATAACACTACTACAACTAAAATATTGTAATCAATTGATAAAAATAACTCCGTTTAAAAAAGACATATTGAT